CAAGTTAGATATAACTGGAATGATTTGTATAAAACATAGTGTATGCTCTATGTTGTTCGGTCTACTCTAGGCGTGATGCTGTGGTCCACAAGAGCAGCGGTGTATGTGCACCTGTGCTCAAATTTTCTGTAGAGGTTTGTGGATGATTCAGAGACTTCAGTAACGGCGCCGCTCAGTGAACACTCGGATTTCAACTAAAAGAAATTTTCAGGCTTTTAAGATAAAGGTATGGGCGGTTTGTTAAATTTCACTGAAAAGCATTTTGAAACTTACTTTTGATAGAGGCTCTACATTTCAACTGAAGTACAGAATGACAAAAGATGTGACGGCAGTGATTAAGCTTCCTTGCTTCAAGCACGCTGTGTGAGAGTTTCCTTAGAACATTTGTAATGACTGGGTACAAGACGTGATGTTATCAGAGTTGAACGTTATAGTGCAACACAGCTTAACAATTTTAACGTATAAGTTATTCGTAACAGATCATATGATAAAGTTTTCAGACTGTAAAAATTGCGTTACTGTCCTCACTGGAATTTTTCCCAGACATCAGCAGTCGTTTACTCATAAGCTTCCAGACTAACAAATACATCTGAATTTTACGACCTCCGTTCGGGGAAAGCTATATATGCTATTAGTGGCAGCAATATGCCACATACACCCGTCGCCTATCACCACTGTACGTCTTCGAGAGGATGCACGTTACCGGAAGACTGTTAAGCTACGAAAAAACTGTCTGAGGAACCATTGTTCCTGATGTCTTGCTTTTGACAAAAGTTTACATCAGGCCAGCTCAATGGAACACCAGTTTTGGTAATTTTTAGGAAAATCAGAAGGGTGATTCTGGATCAAAACGCTACCAGTGGCGATGTACTGCTGTCACTGAACGTGAGTCATCAGCAGATCAAACTGAATTAATATCTATGCCCACTCCAAAGTTCACGTTATCTCACAACCTAAACAAGTTGTCGTAAAGTTTACGGACCCATACAGACCGACAAACTTTGCAAATCACACACATGAATACCCTCTGACTGAAGTATTCGGATACGAAGATTTAACCCCAAAACTCGACAAAAATTCCTTTAAATCCGCGACTTCATTTGTCGTGAGATTTGGGCATAAATTTTAGCCGACCTTCATCATTGAGGTCATCCACCTGCTTCAAAACTCAGCCTGACTTGATAAAGATTTTACGTCAAAAGCGAGACGTTGCCCTGCTTTGACTATTTAGTTATTACCCGACGGAATCTGTGAATAGGAGACTAACAAACGTTACGGATACTCCACATTTTTGTTCCAGCTGTTGGAGTGGCTTCTCTAAATTCTAGGGAGTTTTGAATGAGGCAAGCTTAGGGACGTCCAGTATGTTTTAGCTGATTCAAATGTAAACGAGAATTCTTACTTAGACTTCCTTATTCCCACATCAGGGTCATCTTCTCATGGGCTTCCATGGTTCGGCTCTGTGAGTAATCCAACATGCTTTTGGTTTCTGAGCAAGAATAATTTCCATTAGACACAAACACCAGCTAAAACTATTCTCTTCTAACTAATCGTTGCGACCATGATCGGTTACGAAGAGGCTTTAATTACAGGCTAGCAGCACTAACTAGCATCTTTGATCAGGCATATAATTCTTCATACTCTTAAAATTTACCTAACGACAAACATGCCAGCAGCGATCTCCGTTCCCCTATAGGTGATTTATCTCTAGGTCGTTGCGTTTGTTTCACTTGGATTGGTGCACAAATCCGCGAGTGCCTCCATGCCTCACTGATCTCGGCAGACATTTTGTCATGCAATCAACCGTTATTCCAACCAACCATTCATTCACTCATCCATTCAGGCGTATTGTCACTGGAAGTCCCAGTAGGTGGATGCAGAAAATTGCCGTCAACTTCATTGAACTGCATGACATTTTAGGAGAGCGGCTGGTATAATCTGAAGTAGCACTTCTAATCGCATAGGGGATGTACTGGGTGAAACGATTCGGAGGTTGTTTCATTACAAACAAATGAAGAGAGTACTTGTTAGAATGCGTAGCCATGTATACCCACAATATGTATTGCAGATAAGCCAAGCTTCAAACTTATTTCATCGGCAGTGGTAGTGTGTTTCGCTAAATACTTGGTACAATATCCACACAATATATGAAGCATCTTCTAAGAGCATTCAGTTTTTCAACAAGATCATTTATTGTCACAGATGAAATATTATCCCAACCTAGCAGCAGTAATCCTGCTATCGAGTTCTTTTACCAGCACTTTGTTACCCATTTCTGAACATTCTTTTGAAGTTGTGGTACTTGCTTAACTGCTTTCTGTTAGCTATCCTTGCCGACGCTACTTTCTCACAGGAAGGCATTCCACTGTATGGTGGAATAATATCAGTTCTACGAACAATCATCGCCTACGAAGGCGTCTAATACGAAACTTGTTCCGTACACAACGCAACCTATTCAAAATCCGGGTTGATGAATATCATACTTACTAGCTAAATCGGTCATCCAGGCTACTCCAAATCGGAAACAACCGAGAATGTACTGCATACCATAATTCAAAATTCTAAGTCGATAGAGCGCCGCATTACTGATCAGTGAGCAAAGTATTCGAGGGAGATCAATCCATAAATGAAGATAGCATGCCTGTTTCCTAAGGAATGGTTCGTCATCATCGTCATCGACAACACAACACCATTTTCCAACCACCTACGCTTCGCTGCAGTACAACGATCAGTTAATTGAGCGTCTTATGGTGAAGACATTGAAATGGTGGTTGGGAAGTGGACCGGATTTCTGGTCTCTCAAAATTCTTCTAAGAAGCCCACACTTACAGGTACTAATTCAGAGAATCTATATAGAAACTGACATTAAGAACGTCTTTGACGCGTTTAATGCTTATATATTACGGGATCAACAACTATCCACAAGGTGAATCATTTGAACTCCATCCTGCAAGGCAAATCGCAACAATAGCACCCAGACTTTTTCGTATTTTTTTCATGCTTCTTTGCCAGGCCAAAGATTGGTCATGATTCTACTTGCGCCACTCTGAACCTGTCACAAAATACAGCACTCTCGTCAGCAAAAGGTGATTCAGATTGCGTTGTGCATGGCTTAGCCACCACAGCGATTGGTGCCGGACACATTCACAGACTAAATTCCCTGTTGCAGAAACGATCACGTTGCGGATTCGTCAGCACCACGCTACACGAATTATGCTTTACAGACAGTAGTTGTTGCCGAACTGAAGTCGTTTAAGCTTGGCTGCTCGCAGTGTACACGTCCTACAAACGGACCGTAAAGCAGAGAGATACAGAGGTCCCTTGAAATTTAGAGGTGCTCCACTTTGTCGACAGACGTAGCCTAACTTAGCGAACGGGATCCGAATCACGGGAATTCGTGCACTTACCTTAGCTGTTACATTGAAATATGAATGTGTGCGACTTCCACAGTCTGGAATTTATTGCTCTGAACTGAGGGGTTGATTCAATAATTGCATATCTGGCAGGTTGACCTTAAAATTTGTAAGTGCGAAACGTGCGAGAAACATTGAGGTGAGGGTTTTCTCAGCTCGTCCAAACGCCCATGGGCCTGCTTCGTTTCGAAGGCAAGGACCATGTCGTTTGCATACTTCAGTTGTACAAGGATTTCATCGTCAGTTTTTCGAATACCAGTGTTTTTTAAGACCTTCCAGCGCTGGTGTCATTAACTCATCGATCACAAAATTGAGTGGGAATGTAGTACACATGCTTGCCGCATGTCACATTGGGTACGGGATGTTTTGGAGAGCTTCCAACATACTTCCACATGCCATGTATTCTGAAAATGCAATGAGTCTAATATACTGAAAAATTTCCGAGGCGATACTGGTCGCGCAAGCTTATTATGGAGAACAAACTGGTCAACTGAGTCAAATATGTATTGGAAAGTTAGAATTTCGGGTCGGTTTTATGTATGGTGTCCATATAGCGTGTGAAACATCGATAAATAGAACCCTCTCCAGATCGGAACCCCTTAGTTGCTCTCAGGTCAATGCTTCTGGGGCCGTTAAAGCCTAGCTACAACTTGAATCAATCGGATACCTGTATGATTATCACTGTCATTACCAGGTCATGTTTTGAAGGCCAGTAGGATTTCCTACTGTTCTCAGTTGTGTGGAAGTTTTTTTCCCAGATGAAGGTAAATTTTTCAGAGAACCTCTGACTAGGGACTTCACTTGCACCATTGAACAATGTGTGCGGGAGGTCATTAGATGCAGAACCTCGGAGGTGCTTGAGGGAACACATACAAACATAGGCCTCCGAGACATTACTTATTTCAGGTTCATCTTCATGTGCTCCATTGCATGTAGACTATCAGAGCGAGCGGCAGTAGTTGGTCTTGCGAATTGTCACTCAAACTGTTTGGCATAGTGATCGGGGGGTTCTTCCTTAATGAAGATCGACACGCCTTGTCACGTCTAGTCCTTGGCGGTTTCGCTCATCACTGAATTTCGGGAACCGGTGGCATGGATCAACAGAAGTGACCTGCCGGTGTACCACTCAGTCTGCGCCCATTCCACTTCCTTAAACTCCCGTGTCCACCAATCTTCACATTTGGCGTGCACGCTAAGCTTCACTTGAATTTTAGTAGACCGTTTGGATGAATTATGATCGAGACTCACAGGGGCATTTCTCGGAGCAGCACCACTATTCTGTTTGGTATCCAGTGTTTCAGCAAGCCAGGTACACCATGCCACAGGCGTGATCCCCGGCGGCCTTCTTCCTATTGCGAATAAGCTTTTGACGTGTAGCATTTAGAAGGGAGTTTAGGAGATGCAACTGATAAATTCGTCTATTTTCGGGATCTGGCAGCAGCCGAATGCGTTATTCGCCCTTTCCATTGCCCTAAAACTGAAGAAAGCAGTGACTCCTGAGGAGTGCATGGTTAGATTCCCCACGTGTTTTGGAAAGAGCTGCGGCCAGTCATTGACTAGCGCCACCGGTAACTGATGGCAATGTGATTAATTGGGGTATGTGGTTCGCGTGCTGTTGAAAGATATCACGTGGCGAGAAGATATGCTCATTTTGGATTTTAATGCTGTATGTAGACAGTCTGTGTTGATCATACAGTTAAAGCGGCTGTCCTCAAATAACGAATCCAATCCATGTCGATCACCCAGTTGACTCTCAGAGGCACTAAGCCTATCCACTCTTAAATTCAAATCTTTGGGAACCAAAACGTTACTTAGGCTTTTAGCCTACCCTTGCAGGGCACTCATGGTGTTACGAAACTTGTCTTTGATAATATTAGGACTACGGCCGGCTAGGGTGTGGACACCGTGATAAAAATTCAGCGATCAACTTTCCGCTTGTGAGGCTGCTTCACACACTTTTACAAACGAACAACGCAGAGTAGGTCTTCAGCGGGTATTCACTCAAGCACAGTTGTTTTAGGACGATGCCGACAACTGCATACCCTCCAACAACAGACTCTGGATCGCCACAGGTTCGCACTCGAAGAGTGCTAAGGTAACCGACTCAGCTATTGTGCTTGCATTTGTATTCCTGTTTCTGAGTTGCAGTATACATCAGTGTCAAGCAGTTTCAGTGCGGAAGCAGGAGCAAATCGTTGTTATTCTTACTTCAGAGTAAACACTAAAAACAGTCAGACAGATTAAGCGTTGATGCTTCAAGGTTGATTTCGAGGTGCTTAGGGCTGTTGGCGCCGATAGCCTGGAGCTGTTGCTGCTGGGTTCAATGCAAGACGAACAGGGTTGTCAGTCTTCATGGGTGGACCCACAGAGACAGCCCTATTTATCGATGGAGGAGGCTAAGGAAAAGCCATGTAAAAAATGAAAGGCGTCAGCGGTAGTCCGCTTTTAATCACCCGCCAGCCGCTATGCAGCAAGCACGCCGACTCAGCTGATGAAACCATGCAACGGACGATGCGGAATACCATTTTCACTTGTGGCAATCATGGTTGCACGCGGAATGAGATTTTGCCAGGAGGCTCAAACCTAGACTGGAGAACGGTTATGGTCCCCAACCAAAGTCTACGGTTCACAACTAAAGGCTGAAAGGCGAGTATGCGGAAAGCCATTTCGGGAGCACTTACATGTTCGTCAACCTGGACTAGCAATTTGCAAAGCACGCACGATTTCGCAAATAAATGAAAGACAACCTAGTCAATCAGGCTGGAAATTTCACAAAGCCTCTATAGAAATGGTAACGTAAATGTTAAGTTATAAGACCGAAACAAACGTGCTCCGTTGTCACAAGCAACCCAAAATAGTTGGGCAGGGTATTCTGAGTTCCGTCGTTGCCCACATTTCCGCCTACCAAAATATACCAGGGTGTAACCACCTGTAACATATTGAGACAAATTTTGGGTGATTCCATCAACGCTGGTCCCACCTCTGCGTCTGGTGAGGACCACAGTGGTGTTGTCTGATGAATTCGCTCGCGTCCAGGAAAGGTTACAGGGCTTAAAATAGCAACATTTTTGTTTATTCTGTCAACATACTGGTAAAGTTGCAGAGGCAGGGGAAAAGCTTGCCTCTAAGATTATTAATATTTACTGGATTAGGAGGTTTTTGGATGATCAGCGCACAAGTGAAAGCTTCACTTCTTCATGACAGAGTGGTGTATGGAAGCACACAACAACAATTTAACATAAAGCAACACATGGGATTGCTGTAACTGCTCTACTCACAATAAAAACGCTGATGCTAGCTTAGTGTGTATTAATTGAACATCACTTAAACATTAATTAATTAATTAATTAATTAATTAATTATTGTGTAACATTAATTGAAATTACATGAGCATGCAAAATCATTGTCCTGATTCGAGACACTGTGAAGCCCGGTAGGTGCTTGCATTTCACTGATCACAGGCGTTTATTCCAAGAGGAATAAAGAGCTTCCTAAGCCATGTATTAACGAATTTCTTTCATTCTCAGATGATGTAAGTATAGTTGGAGCTGTTGCCGTTTTGATTCTGGCCACATGTTTCACATGATGTCCGCTCCTTGAAGTAATTACCATTGTCCCAGTAAACAAGAACAAACGAACGTCATAAGCGACAGAATCATATTGATTTCAAACCAGTTTATCCTGAAAGTGAGCATACTTGGCGAAGTTGAACTAACGTTTTTTACGATGCACCGAGCCACATTGAACATCTAAAAATATTACTAGAATAGAACACAAATTCATCAACCATAATATCAAGCGCAGAATGGAACACAATTATGGAGGATCAGCAAGTACGCATTTCGTACTTTACCGGCATTGTGGTTGTAAGTCTCTCATTTGTTTAGCGGCAAGACTGCTAAATATTCCACATTCGTGTACAATCTCCGCGTTGAAACATTGAACTTTTCATTTAATATGTGACCAGCATTGTTAGATACTTGCCAACCTGCACTCAGCTCATTTTATTGCTGGCAAGGAGCGAAAAGTGCTAAACAGACCCATTAGCCAGATGTAAAGAAAGCACATTGTCGCAACCTCTCCATCCGTCGATTAGGAGTGAGTGAAAAACAAATTACTACCTGAGTGAACAAGGATTGGTTTGGTTCGGTTCGACGGACATTATCAAGTACGCAAAAGGACCTCCTTTCTTCGCCTAGAATTCCTTTCCAATTTGTTCTCACCCAATTCAACCACTTCAAATGTTGTCGAGACCGTCTTCAAATTTGTCCTTTAATCGAGGATTAGGAATGGAAAAGTTTCACTCAAACATTTACGTGCATTTTTAAGTGGAATCGGTATTGTTATTTTAACATCACTCCCAATGGTTCGGTCATGGGCTGAAAATTTCAGAGTAAACCTCCTTGATCTACATTGATTTTAGCTCTGACTGTCAAAGACAGATGTAAGTTTAATGTATGAATGAAGAACATATTGCATCCGGTTCATTTACAAGTCAATTTTTATGTGCAACGAAGAAAGTGGAACTTATTTACTTTATGTGGACAGCTTTAGTTTCACTCTTTTGCACATGTTTAGCAGGGTTCTCGGGTTGAAAACTAGTCACAGAAACAATGAACTTGTTACCATGGGACTGAATGACGATTATTCGTCGCCAATTTTCATGAAATCCACCTCTGGCTCAGAAGGCTGTTATTTCTTCCAAAATTGCGGATCCCACTGTTAGTATTATGGACTTTCGGAAGATTAATAATTTGGGCTCTGCTCTGAATGGAAGAAATGTCGGTATATCAACATGTATGCTTTCATACTGACACTACATCAGTGCATTTTCTTCACTGGCCTCATCAGGAGCCCTTGTAAAATCTGAAGTAGTCACAATTTGGAGAGAGCAGCCTGATCCTTCCATCAAGCGTCGTTTATTTGCTATCAACCGTTAAAAATTTGATTGTGTTTGACGGTACATCCACAACCAAAGGCCATTGTAAGTTATGTTACTAATAAAAATAATCTATATCTACATAAATCATACGGACTCAGAAATACACATCTTCACAACACGAATACATACATGTGCTTTTCTCTGCAATTAGCTGTCAACTTGCTGACATACCATGGATTTCTATCTTGGTACAAAGAAGAAAGGGGATCAGCACAGCACCGATAGGAATCCATGGTATCACACTGCCACTCATAACTATTCCACTAATTCAACAACGTTGCAGCATTGATGTGCGAGCCGCTTCCTGCAGACGAACCGCTCTCGTTATACCCAGACTCTTGTAGGAATTGGCTTGGGACTACACAAGTTCATTCTCATATAAAGGTTTGTGGACTCAGTGGACTGTGTTGATTTAACAGTGAAAATGCTGAGAACAGGATAGGAGTTTGTTTGCAGAAATCAAGAGTCACAAATAATCGCTTTAGAGGTCACCGGAGCAACTCTTTCAAAGGACTTGAATTTTTTCACCTTGGTAAAAGTGGCGTAAAATGACGTCTACCAAACGAACTTGGTTTCTATCAGGAAGCAGATTCAAATAACTTTCATATTTTACCGCCTGACACATCCATCCGGCATAAAGTGCTAATGGTACATGAATCCTTTTTTAACTTTGCCTGCTGCGTTGTAAAACCGTCCGTTGTGTATATAACAATCAAATAGCGTTTTTCTCGATTTTACTACCGTTTTAGTTTATTGGTTCTCTCAATCTTGACGTTGTCTGTTGCTCCTAACAAATTCGTCCATAACCCACCTACGTACAGAACTTCATCGGGCGAACTTGATAATTATTATTGATCCCATCTGAAGAAGAAAAAACGGGGTATGTCAAACTACCAAAGACAGTTTTCTCGGTGACCATCGTTTCTGAATTCGATGCTCATACACCAAATGTCCTCCAACAAACTCTATAATTAACAGAGTTATCCCGGTTAACTGACAACTTTAGGAATGGTGTGCGATGAGAAGATGAATAAAATATTGAGCATTGTAGGATCAGAAATAAATTTTCCAAACAACTGATGTCCCTGTTTTTAATGTCTGAACAATCTAAGGTACTCATTGCCAGTTTAATCGACGTTTGTTTTGCAATGCCTCACCGCATTGGGTCCTTGATTCTCCTCTAACTGGGCCAAAAATTACTGCTTTGAAGACACTTTATTGGTTATCCGAAAATGAATCTTGCTCATTCCTACAATGAGAGTTATGCTCGCTGAAGCGTTAAACTCTTCTCTGTGGTCACAGTTTGTTTTTACGAACAGTTATTGAAAACGGTGCATGTTCTGATGGCTTTCAGATATATTTTTAATGGTAACAGTTTTCCTTGTAGAACGTCCAGTTCTTTATATTATTCTATTAATTCGGCCTGCCAAAAATAGACTCACTTAGGTCACTATCCTTATACAGTACGGGTAAAAGTGAAAATTTATCAGAGCAAGTATAATTGTTCACTATCCGGTATGATCGCTTGACAAATGACGCAGGTTTTCCTGAAGTAAATATGTTTGGAAAAATTCGGATACCATGTAAGTATATTTTGAACAAGCAGTAGTTTAGTTATTTCACGTTGTCCGCTCGTTGTACGTTGATTTTCCACTTTGTACATGTACAGCCTAAAGAGGAATTACCGCAGTCTTTTTTTTACCCTTCATGAACGTATTCTGATTTAAGGTAATAATTTTTTTTTACCCTCATGAACGTATTCTGATTTAAGGTAATAATTTTTCGCGTCAGTGCCCGATCCACCCACAGTTTATGAATAGTCGGTACAACAATAAACCGTCAGCCAAAGACTACATGGATTCATTCATGGTTCATTTCAAAATTAAGCTGCCTTCTACGAAATATGGAAAATAACTACTCAAGCCAATAAGGTAAAAGTCAGTAGAAGCCACCCTAAAAACCTTTCGTCGCTAGAACAACTGTTTATATATGTCATGCTTTTCCCACCTCTGAACGCTTTCCTTCTCCCATTCGAAGATACATTCTGCATGTTTTTGTCATACTTTAGTGTACACGTACTGCCTACACAATGCTGCGACTGGTAATCCAGAGGAGTGACGCACATTCTACTAGTCAACAAAATATACCGTCGTAAATAATTAACAAGAGTAGGATATTTCGCGCTTGTTTGCTTTGTTTTGACAGCCTTTTGGTACACGTTTGACCACTGTACACAGCGGGTAGACATGAAGGGAGTATGGATGTTTTCAGCTTGCGTGACTCATCGCTCAACGCAAGATGGCTTTGAAGGGGGCACATGTCGATTCTATCACCCTGGCGAAATGATTAATGTACGTTGAGTACTGACAATTTGTCCTCACTGTCCAATGTTTATTTTTCACGCCTTCATGATAACAGATAATGTGTACCGTCCGCCAAAACGCAGCTGTACCCCTTGTGTTGTTTAATGAACTACACACATCAACGGTAAAATGACTACCAGTGACAAAGCAGCCTGGGCGGAACCACATGGTTGAGTGAATTATGCACTTATCCGAAGTGGGCGATTATTTCATCCCAAATCACAAAGCATATGACTCAGATTTAGAACAACGCAAATGCTGACGCTCATTGATTTCTCTCCTGCGTTGAACGTACTAACAAATCTCCTGAGTTATCGTGATCCATGGATGTTCATGTTCAACATTGCGCTAATGAGCTAAAGAGATATACCTGCTTTAGTAACGTTTCTATGGTTCTAAACGTTCGCACTGTTTGGCGATTGGTATTTCTGGCAGAAAACAAGGGAGCATTCAGTTTTGTAATCCGAAACAGCTGGCTTTTTCGGGAAAGCTTGGAAAACAGTCGTTAGATTTATTACTGGGCAACGTTTCGCTTTTGACCCGAATTCTCCGTCAGGCCTATTCCTAGGTTACGGGTTTTGATCGAGATTTGAGACAGAAGGAGAACCAATCAGGTGACTCAGTCTAAATCAGTGCTAGATGTATGCTAATGGATTTTGTTTGTTAGGGTGTCAGCAAGTGTTAGGGTCGATGTGGAACCTACATGGCTTTTCCTCACACTGATATAAAGTAGCAACGAAAAACACACCAACTTATTGGATTTGTCGCTAACAGAAATGATTCAACAAAATTTCTATCAGGGGAGAAGGCTCATCCGATGACTCAGCGCAATGTCCGCTTTCTCCAATTAATGATGTTATTAAAGTACCCCAACATCTATAATGTGTTCACATTTTAGCCGAATGTTCCGTAATGAAAAAATCCCTTTAGTACTGTCACCCGAATATTTCCTGTGTTGACGGGTGGTTATGACTTTGATAGCTCGCTGTTTCATGACTTCCAGTATCCAAAGTTTTCCACGCTACCTTCTTTTACCGGGTATCCAGTTTGAACTAATTTTTACCTACGCATGCAATGGTTCCCATGGGCTGTCCGGCCTCGAAAGATGGCGATGCTTACCATCAGCCTGTTCGGTCACTTAAAGACAAACCAAATGAAAATGTTTATCTCTTCTGTTGCTTTCAGTATAACCTTGACAAGCTATAAACAACATAATAACTGAGCCAAATATAAGCACGCAAACAAAGTTTCGCTACCTCTGGCTACGAACATGGCTTCAACTCTCTGCTACCGTGGGAAGCTCTCGTGAAACATCCAGCTTAAGCTGACCGTCCGAAAGCTGGGTTGTATGACAAGTTGTAAAACGTGTGCACGCGCGCCCTATTGCACTTGGCATTCAGGGTTCGTGATGTTTGTCCATTGTGCACCACGTGGGATGGGAGGACTGACTGAAGGTAACTAATGAACGCATATGATCTTATTCACCATCAATTCGCAAATAAAAAAGGGCCTTTTTGAAGCCATACTGTGGTGTGGGTATTTTCACAGAATGCTGTCTAGGCATCAGGTTTTTTTATAACATATATGTACCCCTATATGTGATCTGTATGTATATACACATATACCTGACTGAGTACCTATTTTGAACAGTTTTCTGCGGTGTCGTATGTATGCATAGAGGTTTTGGCTTTTTCTTGAATGAAACGTGGGCCAGGAGATATTATCTACCAGTGTTTATGTGAAGAGATACCAGCCAGATTATATTTACGCATTCATGTAGCACTGCATGTACCTATACCGAATATAGAGGTACGACAATAAGATACACTCATTCCTTTAAATGTGGTAGAAGCTATCAGCTATTTTGAATACCTTTGTAGCCAGTGAACTAGAAGGCAACCGGAAGCTCTGTGCCCCTCAAATATAACTCCTCTACCGACAATGATCGAATGAGAATCAGAATTTCATGGCCGATGAGTATCTAATTTGTTTCAAACATCCATTACCACCTGTCAGTGGTGAAGTCTATCAGACATCTTGTAGGTGGTAGAAATTCGCTACTTGTTCTAAACAACTATTTCCCCCAAGAAATATTTTATACACTAAAAATTCGGTGTTGTACTTCTGGCTGTGCTAACCAGCTTACTTAAAATTCAGAAGTTTTTCTATGATAAATAAGGTTATTGCCGCTTTCTAGTGATCAATGTGTGTCCCAAGACCTTTATTCTTATAGGCTCTAATTATCCCTTTACAGACTTACGACACCAGGCTACACCAACAGTGATTATGAGACAAATGTGGTCAAACACTTGAAGGCGTCTCTGTTCCGCTGCCACAATAGGCTAAGTTTCACCGGCATACAACCAAACAGCCTTCACTGTAACCGGACACTCACGTCCCTTGAGTTTCAGGGATATACCGCTCTGATGTCATTGGTGTCTCAAATCAGCAAACGACACCTGCGCCCTGGAGATTCATGCACTGACCTCATCTGTCACACTAAAATCGGGAGTAATTCAACGTTCAACTTAGGTAAAACGCTCCATAAATTCGGGTGCCTCTCCCTGAATTTTAACTGCTGTATTCAGTGACTGCATATCCAGAAGCATGACTTTGCAATTTTTGCATGCAAAGGGCACGCCCAAGTACCGGATGTCTTTGGTCTTTTCATCCTTCTTCCTGTCTTCCAAGATGAGAAATATCGCCGGCCTATTTCTAATCCTCAGAAGCTATTTGATATTCGGGGTTTTGAAAATCTTCGGCTTATGATCTCGCTCACTAGGAGATTAAATAGGAATTGAGATAGTTCGCATCGTTGACGGACGCCACTTTGTGTACGAAAGCTTTTGGATAGTGCTATTTACGACCTTAAACGCCCAGAGTTCTAAGAATACACGGAAATAATTGTCACATACTTCTGGGAGATTTCTCACTGAGAAAGCGTGTTAAGCAGAGCCGACCGGTCAACCGAGTCGAATGCACCTCGAAAATACGGGAATACTATAATTTTGGTCTAGTTCCATGAATGACTTCGTTCTAGCACCTGACGGTGTGTGAAGATTTGGCCAGTGCAACCCCTACTAGACAGGAATACCGCTAGCTGCTCTCGAGTCGGTGTTTCGTGAGCCACCATAGACAAGTGACTCCAACTGTCTGGTTGTGGCTGCGTCAAGTTGGCTCCTCTATAACCACTGCACTTATCATGGACCCCGTTTTTGAAAATCCGCACTATCATTGATTCTCCTCAGTCTTCAGAGCCAGTAAACCTTTCACTGCTTCTCAACCCCAGTAGCTTAGTTCTGCACAAGATTTATTGAAGATCCCCCGAAAAATGCCATGTGTTTTACGATTCTCTGATGGAGTGATGGATACACTGAATATCTCAGGCATTTTACTTTACGTAGATTTGGTTTTTTATTCATTTGTGGCTCGTTAGGGGTGCTCTCAATAAGCGGAGATTAGACGATACAACTGCCCGGTTATGGCAAGCTTGTTGTACCTCACTTAAGTAGCACTTGGTCTTGCACAGACCTTCCCAATGGGACAGTATTGTATAGGGCCATATATTTCATGTAATCTCACAGACCGGCAAGTCAATTCGCTGAGATTGCCAGAAATTAATAAATGTGGGGATATCACTGGCAAATAAAGTGATATTTTTCGTTGACACTCAATCTACTGCACGGTATTTATCTTCACATTTGGAGACTACGCCTGCCGATATTGATTATCCTTAGCCATTTGGGATTCTTGAACGTCCAATTTTTAGGTCTACCACCTCTTGAAAGCTTCACTTGCCACATACTATTTTGTTGACATATGTTGTTTGCAGCCATTGAATCCCAGAAAATATTTGTGTACTTATTGCACAGACAGGAAAAATGATTAGCGATTGTTTTGTGCAACTCCTACGTGACTGGCGTGACTGGCAAACAAGCGTTCAGTATTTTGCAAAAGTTTGTGAGTGGATATTGATATCCGGTCACTTCAGGAGTTTATCCTTACTAACTGTAGTTTGGGAGGTGAAACCTAAAAGAAGCAAAGAGGTAGGAGTGCGAAATGATTTTCGTGCTTTGAAGCTAAGTTGTTTGGGGTATCGTATATAAGTAATCACAGTTATTTTAATTTGCAGTGAGTTCAGGAGGACTAAAGCTTAGTTTTGGATAATTTCCTTTCAGCTCCAAATAAATTACATTTGTCTAGATACGAACAACGTATGCCAACACCTACTCTGGAAGTACAGGGTTTAGTAAGCACTATTAATCCAATATGTAACGCAGAACCGATCAAAGGGCAAAAATTTACAAAAATTTGTGTCTTCGGTTGTTTTGTTAGACCAAATGTGACCATAAATGATTTTTGGTTGTCGTACGAGAGAAATATAGATAGATAACCATTGTTTACACTGCAGTTTCGATTAGTGGGATTTCTCTCCGTCGACACGTGCCACTGATAACCATTTGTTTTACCCCACAACGTTCTCTGAAAGAGTTGATGATGAAATAAAATAAATGTACATAATATCTTCCTTAATGATGGCTCCCTGCCTATATTTTTGTTTTCTTCATCAAGTGCCAAATTCATGCAATAATATTTAAAGCATCAACTGTAGCTGCATATGTTAAGGTTTCTCCTTCGTGCACACTAATATCCCCAGAACGCTAACGGGGTTCATATACGCGGTAATTTTAAAATAGCTACAAAACCGCTATCATAGGTTCGCCCAGCCTGTTTTCATTCATTTGCCTTCAGAATGCTATTCAATCTTGAAAAAGCACATTCAGCAACAAATTCTCTCAAGCTTTGGTACACAGAAGGACAAAAGTGCGCGCTGTCACTGTGGTACCTCCAAAACTCAGTGAACCAACGAAAGTGTACAAAGAGTCACGGCCTGTTTATTTTGAAGGGAAAATCGTATTAAATTACCGGTTTCCTGAGTGTTGATATTTTGCGTTAGCGACAATTCGAGGCCAAAGTTTTTTTCGGTTTCTGTGAATAGGAGCCAATTGCTATACTGTCAAAATTTACCGTCCGGTAGCCTGTCCAAAAAACAACCCTGGCGATATCAAAACATTTTAACTGTCGACACATTTATTCAGGCTTTCTTAGCCAATAGAGAACATTCCAGTAATTTTTAGAACATATAGACCTAATTCATTTAGCCCTAAATGTAAAAGAAGCTCCACTTGGAACAGTGCACTTGGTGTGATTATCGTGAATTCTGGTTAATTGATTCACATATGCTATCCAGATCAATATAAGGTCTCAGGCAGTTTAAATTTCCTAGCCCATCCGTTTTCTGCGAGAGTGTACCAACTCAATGGAAAGTGACAACAGCAGAGTACATGCAGAGGAATGGATTTGCACGCAGACTAATGAAGAATACTTCCATCATTTGAAAGAAGGCACCCATATCTTGGACAGATTACTAGGATACTAACGAGAAAACAATTTGTTATACCATGATATAAATTATTTCTGAAGGGAAAACTCGAAATTTAATTAGTCAAGTAAAGGATGTATACAAGTCCTGTAGCTAAGCATGCAAAGTTGTGGCGACACCGGAACATATTGTCGTGACACTGATGAAAATCAATTTGAAAATTGATTGTATCTGTTACTGAAAACCGTTCCGCTTTGGCATGATTGATGTTTCGATGTCACGGAACAAACACACTGTTTGAATGTCCAGTAGATAAACTCGCAGCTTACATGACGTTCGAGAGTTAACCGAGTCTTATCATAGCACAACAGTGTACGACGAATTCTTCAGTTCACAGTACTTATCACCCAGAAAACCAAAATAAAGAATTACTACCATACCAGTTTCCAGCATGATGTAGTTGATTTGTAACTTCATGAGGGACATATACATATATATGATTTATATGTAATTTGTATATATGATTTTTATATCCATGTATTGTTCATGTATTTTCTCCATAAGTGTTCAGGTCACGTCAGTGTTGTGGAAATCCAGTGGGTAATTTTTAAGCTGCAACAAATTCCGAATATCTTATCTGAACAATGTGTGTGTGTAAATAATCAGAATAAAAAGAGGGAGACCTACTTAAGCATCTTTAAGTTCCTTGAACACTCGGGTTTCGCAAAACAGAACTTTTCAAACTAGTGTTTGAATAGAGGGGCAATCGATTTTTACCCAAATGAATCAAAATTTGGGTGAAAATGGTCTTCATTCTATTGTTTATCCACCCTCAAACGGAGCTAATCTAAGATAGAATGCCGTAAAGCAGTCATATAACTGTCAAAGTTTCGTTGAAATTATGAAATCCGAGTGATACTCTAGAGACCGGAAACAACGGCACTTTCAATGGCAGCATGAACTTCAAAGACTCACCTAAAGATGGCTGACGAACATTATGAAATCAGACAGGATACACTCTCCTTTGCATATCAACTTGATTTGCATGGGAGAGTTGACTGAATCTCCCGGCAGTGGTATATTTCAAATGAATATGCTACACAAAGGCCATATTATGTGTAAGTTGGCAAGGTTTTCGAGATATTGCAGTGTATTTTCATAACGGAAACTCTTCATAAGGTTGCTGAAAACTCTTCAACAGCTAACGACCAGTTTCGTCATCCTTGAGGCTCACCGAGTTTCTGTCAATGATTTGTTCTACCTGAACTCAAATTTGTCAGATTTAGACAGATACACTTATTCGCATATCAGTTTGGTTTCCACTGGAGACGCTGATGAACCACTTATAATATCATGAATACATATAAATACAGGTGTATATACATGCATATACATATATTGGGTGACATTCACTGCGCTTCATCTACCCCATTTTTTCAAGGGCTACGTAGTTTAGGGTGTCTGGACTTTTGCTTTGAACTTAGTTCCCGTTCAACCAGTTAAATTCTGCACGCACCCACTTGTGGTATTTCCAAAAATATTGCTTGCGTGAAACCTAATTCACGGAAGAATGGACAAGTAATCAAATAGCGTAGCAAAATTACAGGAAAACAGCACAGATAATTTAACATCTGAATATCCGTCAATGCTTATATCTGTACGAACATGTCGGATAAACTTAGGCACTTTTAATGCATGGAAGAGAAGAAGAAGATATTAGAAATAGAGTAATTTTTATATGGGAAGGCGCCACATATTCTTATTAGAATGAGTTTCGAATATAGGTAGAATGTGCCTGATTGATTACCGATTTTAGGAAACTGGTCATATTTAGAATTATCCTCGAGATGTAGCTCCGATCCACCCGGTGTAGCACTTGATACCATTTGGTATAATCACAGACTCGTCACAGCTATTTGGGTTTTGTAACGCAATCTCTCGGGCGCGCCTAATCCTTTCGGCATTTTAGATGATTTTCAATCCGTAAATCCTTGAAGGGCTGTTTTGTGTGACGTCTTCAAGCAAGATATATCTCGATGGACATAAAAAACCGGGTTGTGAGTTGGGCCAGATCGATCGAATATGCAAAAGTTTGGGTTTTCAAATCTCCCCATTCCTCCATTCAAAAACATTTAGTAATCGACAAACACCCAATTGAACTTGTCTGACGATTTTAGTAGTTACACACTTGTAACCGGTAAATGAGAGGAGAAAAACAAGAAAAACCTTATTTAGCCCGAGAAACCGCTGTATCCATGACTTAGTTTGGCAGAATACCGACTGATTTCCGAATTCCACTGATAGTTCCGATTCACACACATTCAAACATGTTTTAGGTTATCCTGTTCACGCAATACAACGTCAAATTCTCCAGTCACCTTGGAACAGCCTTGTTTCATTCATGTTGTTGCCAGCTCGGTCTGATATACCACGTGAGAGAAACCCGTATGCATGACTGTCCAAATATCCCTTGACTGATTATTTATAGCATCGTACACCCCTGCCTATCCCTTGAGTGACTGCTGTCGCTGAATAGATCACCTTCAAAATTGCCACCTCACAGAGGCGGTAGACTTTTGCTCGTATGGAGTTTTAATAATCCGAAGTGGATACTGAACAGCTTGGATCAAAGATTATTTTGAAGCAAAACCTGGTTTAAAATCTTTATTCGAAGAGACCAAATTCGTCTGCAAGCAATCTATGCTATCCTTAAAACTGATTCTCGTAAGCCAATAGAACCTCGTTTGCTACAGAAAGCCAAACTGATTTATTTTATATGATTGTGCGAGCGAGTTCTATTTTTGAGCCAAAAATGAAAACAAACCATATGTGATTGCAGGAAGCTAAGTCTCGGACTTCAAATCGATTACGTAGTCATGTTACGGTTTCTGAGGTTGAATGGATCAAAACATTTCCATATGTCTAATTTCGTACAAATACTTCACACATCATGTAGATACAAACGTGTGTCCTCTACATCAAGTAAAATCTATGCTGAAGTATAGCTAAAGTAATGGTTGTATTGGACAAGAGTGCAATTTTTCAAAAGGAATTCATGTGAATTCATGTGGTTCTTCAGAAAGGATTGACGTACTGCACGGCGTACCGATTCAGAGTAGATGATACTGTCACTTCACAAGCTTAGGCTGGTCGGTATCCACCCGTCTGCAGATTGTGCCTCCTGGGGTTCGACACATAGAACTAAGTCTCCACACAAACAATCTGTGTTTTGAATATTACCCTCACGCATGCCGTTGCATAGACCTTGATTGCCAGCAGCATTGTTTTGGATACCAGCGTAGAATTATGAATTCACATATTTACAAACGCTCCAATAAAAATTTGATCTCGTTTAAACTAAGAGGTCTGGGAAGGAGTTCTTTTTGATAGGCCGTTCCACTTACTTTATCCCAAGGGCAATTGTCACGCAATTTCTCCGGTAAATTCCGCCAATATGAATAGAGTAGGGTGCTGGAAAGAAATGAGATCAAAACTAAACACACAGACAAGCACACACTAACTCGCCAGAAACTGCCCAATTCAATTGCATCTGCCTACTGCGCATCCTAAAATTCATTAGGAATCAGTAATAATGGTGCACAAAATCCCTGGGGACTCAGCCGGCTCTTTTGATGAACTTCAGACAGTTGAAAAATGTTCGAAGGATATGGACTGAGAGACTAATGGGCTGGAACTGTTGAGTATTGACGGAATTGCCGTTTGAAACGACCTTCATAATGAGGTAAGATAATGAAAAATATAATAGATTAACTCTTCCTTTGCTAACAGGAATACAACCTTCTTTATACTAAGCAGACCACTCAGGTATAAAGTGATCTTTACCAGAAATAATTTATGTTAACTTGAGAAGTTATTTATGAGACAAAAGATCTAATATTTTCACTCCCAAAGAGCAACATACGAAGAATTTCAGATTTTTTTGGCGAATTGTCTGCATGTAATAAAAATATTAGGTGCAACTGAAGCCATTTTTTGTCGGAATTGTTTACCTCTTGTCCAACAATGTTTGCCCTTTTATATGGGTACATGGCATTAACTACGATGCCTTCTCCTTAAATCGAAACTTTGAATCATGAAAGGTCGGTATCCGAATCGCATCCACCGTTCGACAGTGGTCAGACCACTGAACACCCACAAGTAACAGTGGTTTGCTTGGAGACAAATGTGGTGCTGCATTCAAACCCTTGTCGATGGTTTACAATCAGAAGGATAAAATTTGCAGGATAACGCGCACAGGCCTATTGCAGTGCACCACCAAGCCTAAACATGGAGACCGTACCGGCATAAACCCTCGGTTTTGCCACCAGTCTAAGATCGAACCTTCTCCAGCACTGCACCCTACAACTGTTTTCTGGGGCCGTCCCTTAATCTCCAAATTGCCCTTTCGGTTACGCGTTCACAGTGATGACATTAAGAGTTGCCACTTGACATCTGAAAAGGAACGATGTCTTTGTTGCACACTCGCAACAGCGGCGCATAACATTTTACATTTTTATTTAATGTGGAATTGAAATGCCCCAACTCCAAGCGGGGGCATTTACCGTTGCCTGTCCATTCTAGCACCCAGTCGTGTAATCTGTGACGTGGTCACTCGTCAATCTCGAAACGTTTTGACAGTCTCAATGCCTTTAAGGTAAAAAATAACCCTGAAATCGCTAGTTACCACCAAGATGTTTGTGCGTAGTTATCAAGTGCCTCAGCTCGCTCACCGTATATTTGACTTGCAGATTCTAAGGTAATCGACGTGTGCTAGAAAATCAAAATGTTAGGAATCCCATACTAGGAAACTCAGCTGTGTGGATGAGCTGGTTAACAACCAAGCTTCACAGCTTTGCTAATTGTCGTCAAACAAGACTTAAACTACACAAATTGATTTAACTATGATGGTAAACAGATGGTAATCCACATCGCGAGATTGTCCGATGGCAAGTTTTGCCGCCTTGCGTTTACTGTGTAAGTAGTTTGGAAATTTTGGCAAATGTTTAAATGGCAAATTTGTGTGTGGACGCTGCTAGACAATGGGTGAAACAAACATGTATTCAGCGGCTTTTGTATTATTGGGGCCACTCTATCAAATCCTCAAGAATAGGCTTAATTTCCGGAGGGCACTTATGGTCAAGCTTAAGTGGTCAGTTGATACAACGTGGATTGTAACTTAGGGAAGACAGCGCGCTGAAGATGTCTCCTCGAATGGAATCGAAACGTTTGCAAATTAATTACCAAGCTCGGCGAACAGATCAACAGCCACCTGATCAATTACCAAACAATACACCCGAGCTACCAATATTCCAACATATACAGAATGATATGATTGATTTTTCAGTATCCATGTCCAATACAGGCCAATATATTTGGAACCGTATTAGAGTGGAGCTCAAAATGTAAGTTTTGTGTGTAGGTCTGGTAAATGTTATGATCAATAAGACCCCCATGTTGTCGACTATGTTCTCCTGTGAATCGCAAATAGGCAATTTTCCGACTCACATATCCGAACTTCATGGTTTGTTTTTAATATAAATGCTAATAATTCGATTTTATTACTGATTAAGTAAAATTAATGGTGACGAACGATCATTTTCGCCAAGACATATCGACAGATATCATGCAGCTTACTTAGACTAGCCCCACCTTCTATCTTTATTCGCCCCCGGCAATGGAATGATCGTCCTGTCAATGCCATTACGCCTGCGTGCGTGTAGAACGCAGGCCATTCATCAGTGTAAACTCTTGCTAGGATTGACGCTGCAGTTCACTGGTTTATAGTGTCAAGTAATGGGACTGAATTCCTCCTGTCAACTCCTGTAGGCTTGTCCAATCCATCCTATAGCCATCGGATAATTCTATTCGGTCATTGAAATTGGAAATTATATTAATACAACTGCAAAAACCTGTGAATCTTTGTAGGCACGGGTGTCTTCATGTATTCACATCCAAATCAGAGTCCTATACAGTACGAATACCACACGACGATACGTAATTGACTAACAGTTTTCTGGGGTGAGCTTCAGAAACAGGCTGTATTAGGTACGAGGGCTTTGCGCTTGAATTGTTCGATCTGAATGATACTATAAGCGTTGCATTGAACCCGACTCTTAGCTTATTCAACCCATTATTTTGAGTGATGATTTTTCATAATTTACTTTGTATTTTTTTACAAGCTGGTACATGTCAAGCACATAAATCACACTTCATCAAGTTAACTGTCAAGTAACAGAAATGTATTGAGTGCCAAAATACCCTTGTAAAGTTTATAAATTCTAATATTGTTTATGAGCGGACAGCACCGATTATCGATTGTACAACAAGACGGAAGGTTCGATAAGATCCTTGCAATTGCCTAACCAGCACAAAGTTAATGGAAATTATAGTGTAACTCAATATACCCGATAAACCCCCCTCATTTTTTTCCATTAGATCGCCCTTGATCGTGAAACCGTCGTCGGTGTCACCCTTGTCGTGCTGGTGTCCGACTCTACTATGCCGCCGAAGTTTACAGCCACTACAACCGTATCTATTGAAGTTATTGATGAAAATGACAATGCGCCGGTATTTGTGAATCCTCCAGCCGAATCCTCTGACAGAGTAAAAGTGAAACCATTCACGGTGATGGAGAATGCTCCAAGATTTACACGCTTGAGTGAAAAGTTGGAAGCACGGGATCCAGATCAGGTGAGCTTCCGGTGTAGTAATCCGCTGTGCCAACCGAACCGCCCACTGACAAATATACTCTCATAATTTCTCAGTTTCGGCACTCACTCTTTAGTAATTTCTGGTCAGTTTTCACCCGTGTGTCCAAATTAAACGGGACAACTCGTGAGTACATTCCTCAAAACAACAAAGTGTGCCTTACCGAATATGTGCCTAACGTCCATTGGTAGAGGACTCCGGTTTAACAGCCACCTTGTCCGTTTTTCCTCGAAAGAAGAAACCTTTGAAGCGCTTTTTGGGTTTTGTGTGCCGAATTAACGACTATAAACAAAGCACCACATCTGTTACGATACATTTGTACGAAACCTCATCAGTACGATAATTGTAGCGTCTGTTTGCTTTACTAAGGAGGATGAACAACTCTCATTACCCACCTTTTTCGATGTATCTCATTGTCTCATTTTGTACTGCCTTGCAGTGACGTAAACGCTAGTAGTTTTAGTGAAATCTAACGCCACACGGGGATCGTAAATACTGTGCACAGTGAGGTAAAGGATATGGCCGAACTAACTGCATTCCCAAGGTACCTCTACAAGAGGTTGAGCACCACTAAAGGTGTGTTAGGTGATATCATAAAGTAGAGTCCTTTGAAAACTAAGCGAAAGTTTGAACGGAAAAGTCAAAGAAAATGAATTGATATCAAATTCGACTTCGGATTTTTTGGTAGCATAGAATTAGTTTATCTTTAGCCAGAACACTCGATAATCAAAGTAGTGGAGTACCCTTAAATTGTGTGTGCCTCGGGCAACGCCGATATATGATGCTCAGGGGATAAAATAGAGTCCCCAGTCGAGTCAAGTTTGACAACTGATCGAATGAGGTTCCGCTAATTTGAGGGCGCCAGACTTCATACCGCCACCGAGTGTTACACATGAACAGCGTACACAATCCAGTTGTCACTTGAGAAGTTTGTCGTGCAACCCAAAAATGCAAATTGGTTCGAATATTCAAGAACGTGCACAAGATTCAAGAACAAAGAATGCAGTTGAGCAGATATATTTGAAAACAGCAAGTTGTACACCAGCTGACGCACTGATTGGTAAAAATGACCTTGAAGGATTTTCAGAGTGAAGTATCATTTTGCTTTCCTAACAACGTATGACGGCTGGACATCTGGTTTTATACCGAAAACTCTGGCATTCGATAACAGTATGGTCACACTTGTAAATATAGTGGTCATCTGTAGTTACAGTGTCCCCAAACAAAGTAAACAGCCAGATACATGGTAGGTTTGGAAACGTTAAAGAAGCCTTCACGATGGCTCTCCATTCTTGAGATATTGGATGTAAAATTTTCCCCCGGACCTTCTAAACTACCCTCAAGTTCCCTGGGCCAGCTATGGCTACACCTTTGTTCGAACTCTTTCAACAACTGGAGGATGAAGAACAACCTTAAAGAGAGTGGAAGACTCTTGTGTTCAAGAGTGAGAGCTATTGATCAATTACCGTGAATGATGACAGAATGGGTGATTGTCAGTATGTCAGCACTTCAAAAACACGCATAACTGGGCCACAGTATTACCGCTAAAATGCAATATTCATGCCCAACACACCATCTCCTTGCCTGAGAAAAGAGTTTGCAAATAAAGACAGTCATGATTACTTAAATCTAGCACACACCTTTGGCAAAGTGCCTGGGAATATTATGCTGGTCTAGATCCAGTTTATGGAATCAGGGGAAACCTTTTCGCATTCGGGATCTCCTGTTTGGAAGGACTTTAGAAACGAAGTTGTGGCTATGAGCTGGGAGCCTCAAGGCCGTCTTCGTTATTCGAAACCTTGTCCAGAGAACCACACAGTTTGTGCGTCTTGCCAGCTATATGCAGGTTATTTTAAATCATGCACATGGATTACTACGGGTGATGACGTAAGTGCAATCCAGTGTTACATGATTTGGGGGCTTAACTTGCTCGGTGGAGTTATCCGGCAGGCTAGAAATAGGCCTCCTTTGTTTCTAATAGGTACACAGAAATAAAAACAATAACGGCTGGTCGGCGAGGTTTTGATTCTGCTGCCCCTTCGTTGGAGGTTCAGTGAGAAAATCAAAATTAACCAATTTCAATTTCACCCGACTGAGAGTGGTTTGGAACAGGTGAGCGTTGAAGTTATCTCAGGAATGTGGATGACCCTCCGTATCCAATCTATTTAACACTCCTTCGTTGGTTGGTCAGTAGATTCTGAAATATTACCAGTCAACTCACCATTTCATCATCATCTCAGAAATTTATACAAAGTTTGAACCTGATGGTGTATACTTTTAGACTATCATTTTGCGGATCAGTTTGCCTTAAGACACTTTAGAGCTTCAGTATGCTTCACTTCTTCAGCTCAAGTCACATGATCTGTTCGGGACTGGATCTCCGAATGGCAACCATAAGAACCTCCTCAAGCCCAGGGCCCTGATAGAACCTTCCCAAAACAGAAATAGCCTAAAAGCCAACGTGCGCCTTTCAAATGAGAATTTTTCCCCAAGAATCCGTCTAATACTGCTTCATATGATATAACCTGAATAGCTTAGGGATGGTTACAGTTAGCATGACCAGCCTCAAGGCATTCCTATTGCTAATAATCAACTCATCACCGAAAGGTGTTTGATCAGGCGGCCCTCGTGACAGTTCCCATAAACAGTGGTGAGCTGCGCACTAGAAAGTAACCGCAATTAGGACAAAATGGACTCTCATAATTGTGAATGAAACCTACGTTGGACGTCCCGAATTCATCGCTTTTTCCGTCGTCCAACTTTTTGGCTTCAGTGATACCGCCGATGTTTGTTTACGGCCAACATCACGTAGGTAGAAAGTAAACTGAAATAGGTAATGGACCAGATATTTAGCTCAGGATGAATAATACACTGAGCCGGGCATTCCTTTCTACCATAAGTTTACTTTCCATCTGTCGGAAACTGTTCTCTATGCTATTCCCGTTCTTCTCCTGGAACTGGTTCCAGCCTTGAATAACACCAGTTGTTTCGATCTAATTCGTTTCACTCAACCCAAAGTCAAGCGAGCATCCTCTGTGAAAATATCTAAGCTATCCATATTTGTTTATGGGCCAGAATTTTGCGCGATTTTCATCCAATTTCTAGGGTCTGGTTCTCACAACTTTATTTATATTGATTTCGTTGTGTGTCTTGATCGTTAGGCTTTATGTATACGCCATCTAGTCTTTGTAATTTGCACAGATTTTACCCTCTGGACTCCTATTTCGGTGACATACTGCACAGTGTACAATTACTGTGGCACGTATGCGTCATGTGGCCGGTGATTGCTGTCAAATTGCCGCCTTTGGTCCTGACAATAAGGGTTCCTGTCTAGCACTTCACAGGTCTAAATAAATGATTGAGAAAAATCTCTTGTGTTCAGCCGGTTCAACGTTACAATTTACTCCATCAAGTCTCCCATGAACGTAAATTTCCGCAACTGTCGACCAAGGGAAGCATAACCAAGAAAAATATAGGGAAACACGAGAAGCAGCCCGCCTTTTCGTGACTCATCGGTGTGAAGCAAAGAAGGCGCGTTTATCAGGATTGGACTGCACACCGTTGGCTGATTTTCCTCGTCGGTTAGCATTTTCGTGCACGTTTTCCTCCACCTAGAGGTAACAATGGAAAGCGCGGCTTGAATTAATTTGTACACTTCCTTTTAGTTCGCCCCGTACGGTAGCCGTTCGTGATTAAACTGCCGATTGAGATTTACTAACTGGTGGTCTGCTGAGGAAATCCTCTACGTTCATCAGTCGCTGAAATGAAGTATACCCACTATGGTTTCAGGATATGTGGATGGAAGGAAATAGCTAAAACACGTTTGCAAGAGGATAGGGCCTCTGAAAAATTAGTTCATATACATATGTCTTAGGCTAGTACATCGAGCCCATATCACGTTGATCTTATCGATATCACCAGGACTATATTTGTCACCTGCAAGCATTTCCGGTGTTGAGGGCAAGGAACTTGGTGACTGTTGGTGTCCTTCATCAGGTTTTCTACAGTAACTGCTTTTAGATTACAGCCGCTTGCTGTCCCGTTGGTATGGATCATCTAGACTGGTTGGATCATCTATGAGGGAGAATCCAGTCTTCTTCTTCCGTTTCCATCCGCGGTGTATATTCGAATGATTGTTTGCTTCAAGTTATCAGTTATCCGGATTTTTTATTTTATGTTTCTTCGCAGTTGGATTGCGTTTCTATGTATTTAGAAGGCAACCTTTGTATGAATTTAATAGGCGAAATCCATTCTTCTGACTGCATGAGCGCTCCGCTTTATGTACAAACGGATAAAACCCTACTGTGGAATTGATGACATATGTGCCTTTTAGAACAACTTTTCTGCATCACAAAGGATCATGGATAGTCCTGGATTGTGAATGTCCCTAAGATTCTAAACCAGCTGATTGTTACCATGGTTATCTACTTTGTAATCGTGGTCTGTCTGCGTCATATACACGGGACTAGTTTGCCGTTATATGGAAGTAAATACCAACCCATCTCTAATTAATCCACAAGGTAGGTGTCAAGTAGATATTGTCTGAATTTCTTGCCATTTTCCCACATTTTAGGGTGAAAATGGACGTGTTCAGTTCTCCCTTTTGGACACGTACGCGCTGACCCGATCATCGCGGCAAGGATCTACAAACATCAGGACTAATGGACAGTATTCCGATTCAAGGTACAAAGAGATCTCTCATCAGTCAGATCCCATTGACGATCTGGGCTTATCCAAACGAGTAGTCGATCAACCCATTTTTCGCGTCACGCCTGATGGTGTAATCGAAACGCTAGTTGAACTAGATAGAGAGATAGTGCCAGCATACATTCTGAAAGTTGGTGCTCAGGACCGTGGTTCGCAACCTCTGGCATCTACAATAATGTTGCGGATAGATGTGTTAGATGCCAATGATAACTCGCCAGTTTGGGTGTTTCCCACACCTATGGACCGAACAATCAACCTAACCACTGCTATGAAGCCTGGCAGTTTGGCAGGCAGGTTACGAGCAGAGGACGCCGATATAAACGAAGCTGGTAGGGTCACTTATCTGTTTCTGGGACCAAGGGGCGAGCCACTGAGAGGCGTCAGCTTGGGTGAAGGTCTTCTGGATAGTTTGGCCTTGGTAAGAAACGGTGAGAAGCCACCAACAAATGAGCAACAACGATCAGCCTTACAGACGGGGCCTGGCCGACCACATGAAAATGGATATCGTGTCGGCCCTTTATATTTAAACGGTACTACCGGTGAAATCTGGATAGCAGATGTCCTTACACCTGGAGCAATCAACCTACACCTTCGAGCTCAAGATCGCGGGAAACCTGTGTCTCAAACTGACGCCTGGCTTACCATCAACGTATTTGTTGATCCCAGTGACGACCCAAGTTTCTTCAACTTCACCGGGGATGGAACCTTAAACGTGACAATCATTCTTGTCATGATCACAATCACGGCGATAGTCTCATTATTTCTTATTGTGGGAATAGTGTGTGTTCGTCGAAGACCTGTTCGTTACAACGCAACTCCAATCAACACCACCCCTAACGGAACTACTTCTCCTGGCCATATGACCACTTATTCTGCAGACATAAATAAAGATTATATGGCTGGAACGATGAACACGGGAACTTGGTCATCTCCGCTGAGTGTGTACACTGCTGGTCAGTATTATCCAACACTTGGTTCGGTTGGTAACCCACTGCTGGATGACGGCCAGATTTTCACCACAATTGGGGGCGCGGGGATGATGGGATACGGTGCAATGGTAGCCCCAAGTGATACCGCAAGTTTGATTTATGTTCCACAACCGCCACCCCCTCAAAGTGTAATGGGATCAGTCGCTGGGGCGTCAGTGACACCGGTCCCCTTAGAACATGGTGTGGTCCCGCTGGAATATACTGGACGGGGTCAAATGAACACTTTTGGAGTGAGTGAATTATCATATCTCAAAAGAACATTCATCGGTATCTCGCCATCAAACCTTTAATTCCGTCTTTGCCTTGTTTGGCCATTTCGTCAGTCAGTTTTCAGGGTGGTCACCAAAATTCGGTTGTCTGTTACTATATCAGTGCGTACTTCTACACTTTTAACCAATATTTTTTAGGAAGGATAGAGGATAAGTGCTCATTCTGTTGGTGGTGTGCGCAATAATGCTAACTTTCATATGGTAAATCTCAGAGTCCTTATCAAATCTAGTCAGGGCTATAGAAAGTAAACAACCAGTCGATTGATATCGAGGTACCTCAGTGTTTAAGGTCCGCTGTTCGAACCCAACACCAGCACTCAACTGCTCGTGTCTAGGCTTGGGCATCCTAAGAATAAATAGGCCCTCGTGATTAGTTCGGGTGTCGTGGCAGCTAGGCATTGAAACACTGGTACATCTGTTTATTATTACTGACCGATCGACTATAGAGAGACCATAATATAAGGCTGACGTAAGGTAGTTTTCTTGAATTATTTTTTCCTGATTTGTGGGAATTTTTCATTGGCAATTTTTTACCTGCACTCTGTCCACCCTTTATCATGTAGCTTCATCGAGACAAAATAGGTCACCACAGTCTCTTAATTCCCCTTTACTTAGTTGCAGAAGTTTTTTCCATTTGAAGATCTCTAACCAGCACTTACTTCTCACCAGGCCTGTTGTTACAGCATTAAGATCTGTTCTCCCGAAATATGCCTGAGTTCTTGGTTAAATGACAGCAGTCTTAACAGAACGAGAGCTCTTTTTTCAACGACAAACGTCCTGGTAACCTAACATGCTGAATGCGTTTACTTTATTCTCTTTCCTGTACCTCTGATTATCATACGCACTGATCACATAAGATGATGAGTTATTGGTCATTACCATGTTTGTCCTGGGAATGCTATACGCCTCCAGCAAGAAGGCTATCCTGTGGGAGTACCACGCCATTGAGCCAACATTCTCAGTCCGATATATAATTGCATCTCCAGCCATTTCGATAAAAAGCAAACCCTCCTGAAAACGGTGAAGGAATTAATTTACTCCCGAGTGTGTAAGAGCAGAATGGTAGCGCCAGACTCCAGAAGCCTGTGTTTATCAATCGACTGAGAGTTTAAAGTAAATAGCTGATTTGCGAAGGGTTACCAGTAATAACTAGAAGAACATTACCCGTTTGTGATGACCCAAATGACGCACACCAGTTACCCAATTTGTATGTGCAAGATTACTGGACACTTGGCGAAGTCGTTCTGAGCCAAACAGAAATCTTATCAAGTAGTTACACAAGATATCCGCTGAATCGCGATGCTACCAACGTTTTACCATCGCGGGTCAGAAGACGGACCGTTCCTATTCGTCATCCCTCCCACGAGGAAAATCCCCACAAAGGTGACATCTTCTTACCCTCAGTGGATTTTTCCGCTGGGCCACCCGGATATTCGTTTCAAGGGCATAATTATGAATAGAAATGTCATATACAGATTGTTGTCTTTGTAAGGAATTCTAACGAAGGTGAAGCTTTTATTTATTTCGATAGTTGGCCGTATAAAGAATCTAAACAATTCTATTTGCGGGAAATGCTTCTGAAGACCAAAGAAGAAACCGATCCTGAACCCATTTCTTCACCCAAGCGCGTCCTATCCCTGGGATGAAAAATAGTGACCTATCCTTTAGTCCAAGATGGCCTCCCAGCGCACTTGACCATATCTGACAAATTAATCAGACATAGGGGTTATTTTCTTCACATTCAATACCGGTACTCTTTTTTCGCCCAACAGACACTGAACCGAAATCGTGGCACACTAGGTGGAGGGTTCTATACCGGTCCACCCAACTGTGGTATTTCATATGAGCCACATCTGGACGGCGACAGTGGAGACTCTGGACGTGGACCATCCGAGGAAGGCAATCAGTTTCTACTCACAGAAAATTATAGAAGTGAGTGTGGATGTTTTATATATAAGTCAACCGAACAATCTATATCAATAAGACCCATGATATTTCGTCACAATTTTGCATTAGGTGATGGATTCTGTAAGCAAATAGACACATGTGGAGATTTTCCGACTACTTGACGTATCCGTCCCTCGTATTTAACCGACACTTCAGTTTGTTGGAATTTATCAAACCATATCGGTTCATAAAAATCGGAAATAGTCGGTCCTGGGGAAATTCTGTGACATCTTTATTTCCTGTAGAACTTCAAGTTACCAGATAGGTAAATATCAAGCCCAATTTGAGGACAGGAACAAGTTTAAAACGATTCTGGCTAAACACTGGTATTCAGATTCACTGCGATTGTTGACGCACTTGTTAATCTGAGCAGAAAGCACTTGAATTCTTGGGGTTTTTACTTTATACGTCTGAGTTGTTTTTTCCGACACCACTTGAAAATGGAACTGAGTCTGAGCACTCAGCCCAGCGAGACGGTTGTGCGGCAGTTTCAAAAATGAAGTTTTCAGAGTCTGATTACGAGGCATCTGGAAATTGTTGTAAACCAGATTCGCTCACCTACCCGCAAGCGTCTGCTAAAATTCCATCCTCTCGTTCATCCCAAAATTAATGAATTCGATTAGGAAATCCCAACGCAAAACCACATTGATCCGCATCAAAAAAGGGAGCCGGGCCAATTTATCCTATCAGAATATTTTCAAAGATACAGATGACGGTGGTCTTTGATTTTCAAAGACTAACAGTCCAAATTCACACAGCTCTAATGGGTGTCTGATTTCATTCTTGGTCGAAACGCGAAAGCCGTTCTCAAGTTTCTGTCAAATCGCATTAGTTGGCCGATCTCATTACATTATTTAAAGCCCTCAGAGATCGATCGGCAAAAGTGGATCAACCGGTGTTCGCCGGGATGCTACAGAGTCCAAACCAGTGCAAGCCGCTTTCAGTGTGAATTGGAAAGCCAGTGACTGGATTTACATGATTGCAAATTTTCATTACATTCTTCAATGTGTGAAAGGGTTGGAGTGAGGATACAGTTGGACAGCCAAAGAACCCTGTGAAGGATTCGAGCAGAAAATGACGCGGACCTCGCTATTTCTTGTGATTAATTCTGAAATATCATTGTCTAAGTGGAGAGAACAAGTTTGTGAAAATTGTCACACAGCAGGACCGGACAGAGAACACAACCGATGAAGTTCCGTAATCATAGGTTTTTACCTACTTATACTGGGAGGCTGCAGGCTGGGAGAGAACATTTAGCAAGCCGAAAAGGCGACTAGGATTACTCCAACCACACACACAGTAAAAAAAAATATAAAAAAGTAAATCGTTCAGCTATAGCACCCTTTCGGTGCCTAGCTTCCATGCCACACGAAGGAGACACGAAGGTTGGGATACTGCCAGGTCGCCCTAGCCCAGACAGGGGAAGTCGAGTGGCAGAGGTAGGATTCGAACCACGGACCTTCCGGTCAGTAGATTCGCGCTCTAACCACTTGATCCGTCTCGCCCCCAGCACAGCAAACAAAATCATGATTCGCATTTTGAGATGGTCTGCCCAAGACAGACGTGAACAGAAGCTGTAGCTATTTAAAAAAGGACAACAGGATGACGACGCCTGAGTAAATATTTTCCGGAATCTCAAATCACATCGGATTGCCAAAACCCAGAAAAACAGAGCAATTCGTATTTGAAAGCAAATTTTTGGCTCAACACAATTAATTTTTGGTTCGAAGACAAATATATGAAAATGTGTACTGCACATTTTTGCTAGCAGTAAAACTACGCTTTGTTATCCTGTTTGTCAATTAAATGTAAAAATTATTTTAAACCAAAAAAATATGAAAACATCTGTAGTTCGTTACCGAACAAAATGGAAGTGTGCAAACGATCACATTGCTGATGAATCAGCCATGACCGAACGATTTAGTCTTCAGCTAGCCAAGAGATCCTGGTCCCAAGTATCCTGGAGATTCTTGAGGTGGACAATGCTGATGATTTAGCATTTGCTGACTTCAGTTGCAGAAAGGATAATCGATCGAAAAATTCCCGAGTCTCCCCAAATATGAACAAAGCAGAGAATGACTCGATCTTTGATTAGGTTTCCGGGACTAGTGGGAAAGGCGTGTGAAATTTTTTTCACCACCGTCGCACAACCTGCTAAAAATAATCACCAATAAGGAATGGATAAATTCGTGCAGTATAACAATTACGATTGCTCCCGTCGTACCACATTTCTGAATTAGAACGATATTATACATTTGAGGTGTCTTCTGAAGCGAGAGTGCAGAAAGTGAAGTATCGTGCACAGTAGACAAACAGCCGCTCACATCCTTAAGTCAGGGATGCCGATTTTGATATAACTCCCTATTTGTACGTCGTTTGAACTACTCATTACCGAGATTCACCAGGTAAGCATAGTCTCCAATTTTCCCTCACCCTTAATGAATGAATGAATAAATGAATGAACATCTGCATTTCCGAGGCACATTCGAGCTTTGCTGATCTCACAATGTACTGACGGGAAACTCTATTGCCAATGTATTCGCTCATCTGAAATTGTTAAATTTCTGGGCTCTGTTGTACGCACCACGAAGTATGGAAGTTCCAACCGGAGCTCTGGGGTGCTGTGGCTCAGAAGCTCACCAAGACTACCATGGCTGCTAGTGCTGTTTGGGTCTCAAGCACAGAAAGCCGAGACCACTCACCGCTGCTGGTCCGTAAACAGTGCGCTTGTGTTGCTGTGACTTCGCTGCGTGGGCGTCACGCGCGCAGTCTCCAGGCCTCCTGTTCCCACTGGAATGTCGATAGTGTGGTCCGGTTTATAGGCATTGGCTAAGTCCAGTTGTTATGCTCAACTCGAATTCCTCGTACTGAAGGACTCAGCAGCGCCACGGCAAAATGCATAGCTGGGCAAAGCATCACAGGGCCTGACAGGAAAGTGCGAGTACGGTCGAGGGCTTGATAGAGGCTTTGCAACAGAGACGGTAAGCCATTCACCGCATTCATAGTAAGCCATTCACCGCCAACCTAAGGGAGAGAGCATCGATCACAGTACGTCGGATACAGCTTGAAGCACCTCATGGTCAAGCCCTACATAGTCAGAGGTCGCTTCCGGTTTGCAACAGATGCCCACAAGGCAGGATTTTTGGGATCTTTGACAGTCTGTTGAACACACATTTGAGGTTTATGTAGCGCGATGGCTACTAACTCGGAAAGACCTGGGAGTTTATGAAGCTTAGCACTCAAATTCAACAAGAAAGTCGTGTTCACAGTTAAAATTTCAAGAGAAATTAGCTTTGACGACCTGGAACTAAAGCGTTCTGCTTGTGCGTCAACTGCAATTACGAAGCTAGTTTTTCGTCTATTTGGAGAGATTCGATATCACATTCGTGCAGTCACAGGAATGAGATAACTAACCACTAGCCACACTGAAGTATAGCCAAGCACTAATGCCCATGCACATAATTAGTCGGTAAAGCAGGTTCGCAAAGAGATTCATATATACGTGACCTACAAATGAATAGTCAAGAGGTTTGACTAGCAATTTTCCAATCAAACAGCCTGCTTCTTCTTTTCGCAAGTAGTTCTGGTTGTCTAAAACTGAGCGATGATAGGCGGCTCAAGCACTACATAAAATGTCCGACAAACGTGTAGGAGAAGGAGAGAAAATACATTCCATTGCGTGCTACAGAGCCATGAAATCTTCAGCAGAATACAGTATAACTAACTGAAAAATTAGGGTTAATGCCATCTAAATATCGTAGAGTAGACTAAATCCCAGTGATTTCCACACAAAATTTTCCTTTTATCACATTATCGGCGATCGTAAGCCTGGCAATGAACACCGGTCCCAGAACGCCGCACAAGTGCAATATTGAATCAAGCTACGAGACGATATTGATGGGGTTTTTATTGAGCTGCCGTTAGAAATTCAAGTACAGACATGCACCGTTGAGTGCATACGGAATATTATGCTGGGAATCCATGTATTTGGGTAGAAGATTTAGCTGCGGCTTACACTGAAAAAGTATTCCGGGCCCGGGTCTGGATTTTTTGTATTTTGTTCCTTCCTGGCGTTTTGACCGATTTTATCGCCTGGTAATCCTGGCTGTATGATCTCCGTTCAATTTTCCAACGACATTTGGAATCAGGGATTAAACACCCTTACCAAGTTGAGCACAATTTAATTAATTTGAATAACAATCAGGTTTCCTTAAACAGCTAAAGTGCAGGAAAGTGGTATCATTTGTTAAAATAACTCCACTTGCAAATTAAGTTTAAACTCATGGCAGACTCACCTTAGTATCGACTGACTTCGTCATTTATAATTAAATTCAATTGAATGAGCTACCCGGTATTACAGTTTGGACGATATCCAAGATAACTAAGTGGCTGTATTGGCATATTGCATTTAGCGGCACTTCAACAAGTGCTTTGAATAAAGAGCGCATAACTGGGAGATCGCTTATTTTTTATTCTTGCCATTCTCGCAATATCTTGCCGTGACATGCAATCTACTTTTTACGGTCTCGTCAGATTACCCCGGATGGATAAACGTAACACAGTGGTGGGGTAAGGGATAGCGATTCACTGAATTATCTCACAAATTTGGTGTGAAAGTTCTAGTAATCAATTTGAAAAATATTCTTAACACTCTTTCACTGGGTGTGCCCTCTCCATACTCATTAGGGGGATGGACGCGTGGGCAGGACGGTGACAAATATCCATGCAATCGCTTAGCATGAGATGAACGATATACAACTAATTCCATGCTACTCTGACCTCTGACGTGTATCAAGTTGGATTCCAGATTATCGTGTCAAGAATAAGTCGTCAATTGCATTCCATCCACTTTGAATTATCCGGCGATTTTAGGGCCAACAGTTTGTTTCAGAG